GGGGGGCTTGCGCGCAGTCAGGAGGGATTGTCCTGCCTGCCCCTCTGTTCGGGGACGTACTGTAGCTCTGCTCTGTGGGGGCAGGGGGCAGGGTGGGCTGGCTCGGGGCTCTGGAGAAACATGTCCAGGTCCTGATGGGGGGGCACTTCAGGGAACTGGCATGCTTTGACATTTTTTTTTTAAATCGAAGGCATAAAACGTAATCCTCCATAATTTATAAATGGCTTCAATATTTTGGCAGGCCCGAGTCCCATCTTTTGGAGTTATTTCGCAATATTTCAGATGTGACTTGGGGGGGAGGGATGTTTCACAATGCAAGATGTGCCAGTGTTTTTGTTGTAACTGTGTATTTGAAACCACATAAGCGTCTATATTTGAGTGTTACTTTACCCATCAGCGCTTCTCCAAGTCTTCAAAGCTCTGCGCAAGACGCAAGCTCTCTTTGAGACGGTAATTAATAATTCACTCCTGCAATAAACCATCTGCAGTGTTCTTGGCCATTGCATCAAGCAGGGGACTCATAACTGTTGCTTGCAGTGCCAGATTTATGAATGATTTCCCTGGTGTAGTTTCACATTTGCAGTCCTTGGAGACCACTCCATATAATCCATGCTTGTCTTGGGCACCCTCTACCAAATACACCCGCTAAAGGCAGCTGGAGCCGTCTCTCAAACCTGAGCTGCTGCTCGCTCGCTCTGTAAGAGGGTTTGAGGTATTTACCCAGACTGTACCCAGAGTGCAGTTCAGCCAGTGAGCCAGAAAGAGTCCATGTGGAGTCTTCTCTAGACTGCTGTCATGACAGAGCCACAGAGGTGCACTAGCACAGGGTTTTTGGTACTTAGATGTCTTTGAAATTACTAGGGAGAAGTCAGTAATGGTGAAAATGTGGATATGGCACCACCATGACTAATGGGCAGATTTCTCCAGTGACTTGGTTGGCCAAGTGAGTGAGACATGTACTGGTGTCCATTAGACAGGTGTGTTGAAATACTGTTGCTTGCTGCGGCAACATGTCTGCTTCAGTTGGAGGCCTGTATCACCTTCTGATCAGAGCATGTCTTCGTTATTGATCCCCGTGTACTGGCGTTCAAAATGCCACCCTTCCGATGGCGTGGCCCACTGGAGGGCGCATTTCCCCTGAGCGACCACTAGATGGCAGAGGGGGTCAGGTCTCACCTTGGGCTGGGGGTGGCCCATGTCCTGGCAGGGGGGGGGGAGGTGGGTGTCAGGGCCATACGACAGTGCTTTACGCAGAGAGTGGCGGGGGGGGGGGGGGGGGGGCTGAGGAGATCTGTCTATATAAGGAGCCGGACCTGCGTCGGCGTCGGGGCGCCCACGGGCAGCGGCTCGAGTGCGTTCCGTTGCAGCGCCGTTTTAATTAGAAGTTGGTTGAAATCGGATACAGGCTCAAGTGACGGGAGAACAGGGCTCCTGCAGGGTGAGTGTGGAGCCCGGGCGGACGCACGGCAGCGTTGGGGCTGCGGCGGATCGGAGCGGTTCCGCAGGCTCAGGCTCCTCTCCTTGTACCGCCCTGGGGGTGGGGTGGACACACGGCTTGCAGACCTGTCGTGGCGGACGCCCCCGGTTCCTGTGAGGGCAGCAGTGGCCGTGGCGCGGCTCGTGGTGTGTCCGGGGTCGTGGGTCATGGGCACGCCGAGCCAGCCTGCCGGTTCATGTTCCCAATCTCGGCACAAACAGCCTGTCGGGGCTGGAACAGCAGAAGCTCTCTAACGAAGACCAGACTCGGATCCACTGGGACGAAGAGGCACAACCGCGCTGCACGCAAGCACAGCCCGGAGCGCAGAGGGGCTGGGGAGAGGCCGGGAGAGGCAGAGGGGCGTTAGGTCCTGGGCTGTGAGGGGTCGTGAAGTTGCCCTCTTAAAGCGCGAGAAATCATTCGAACTGCAGAGCAGGATACTTCCTGTATTTTTGATCTTGGTGAGGGGGGTGGAAACGTTTTCAGCATTTGGGCTCGTGTTAAAGAGCGTGCTTCCGAGCAAAACACTGCTCCTGGTTTTGCTGGCCCTGCGTCTGTGCAGCCCAGATGGTGACGACAGCCCTGACCCTGCTGCCCGTGTGCAGGAGGTGTGTTAATGAACGGCGCGCAGGTCTGACGCTCACGTTCCTTCTCTCTCTCTCTCTCTCTCTCTCCCCCCCGGCAGCTCGATGAGGAAGTGGCCGCCGCGCACCTGGATAAGCTGGGGGTGAAGCTGACGAAGCTGTCGGAGAAGCAGGCCAAATACCTGGGGCTGCCCCTCGCCGGGCCCTTCAAGCCCGACCACTACCGCTACTGAGCAGCCCCCCGTCCTCCCGCAGCCCCCCGCTCTCCGCGCTGCGCCTGCCGGGCTGCTCTGAGGCATTGTGGGAGGCAGGAGGAGCGCTGGTCTGGCCCGGGGGGAAGACGGGACGAGGAGGGACCAGCTATGCTGGGGAAGCACTTCCTTCAGCCTTCACACTGGTGTTAAACTGGGAATTTTCTATTGGATGTTCTAAGGTATCCCCAAATGCAGAAATGAATGCCCTTTTCGTTCTTTTCCTGGACCTCTCACTTTGTTTTAATTACTGGTATCGTCTGAGTTGAACTGAGACCGACGCTGGGAACGGTTGTTTCAAAGCTACTGCCATTACGTCTTAAGCACTTGTGTAATGTTTGCCTTTGTTGTCAGTCTCTATCAAACGAAGGGGGTGTAAATAAAGGCCACGTTATGCAGTAATGAGCTGTTTCTTGTGATGAGAACAATTGGAAGTTCCCTGTTTTTAATAGCTTCTTTTTTAAAAAAATATTCTACAGATGTTCATCCTGAAAGTCAAAAGCACTTTTTTTTTTAAAAAACTTTTTTGACCTTTTTCTATCCCAGCCTGCCATGCGGTGTAGTGGGCAGGCGGGCGGTTCTGTGGGACAGCTGGCCCAGGCTGGTCAGAACCAGGTCAGGCCGCCCTGGATCTGGTGCTGCTCAGGGTTCGGGTGCCCGGTGCGGCCGCTCGATACAAACCGGGTGACCCTGGTATCCCTGGCTCCCCTTTGAAGTTGGGCCGGGACACCCCATTAGTCTGTGAAGGATCAGCACTTCCTCTGGTAATGGGGCCCAGTCACGCAGGCAGCCAGGGGTGTTACTACCCCTGCAGTTACCCAGGCAGCCTCAGACTTTCTGCAGCGCAAGCTGGGACAGAACCTGCCGCCTTCTGAAGGTTTTTTTTATTAAACTTGAGGACTTCTGGTAAGCTCCAGTCCTGGGGGTGACATTAAAACTTCACAGGCCGGTTTAAAGACCTCTGTGGGCAGTTGGCTCTGCTGGAATGGCTCCGGAGTTTCTTGGAGCCTGGGCGGAGAGAGGGGCGAGTTACTGCGCGGTCGAGGAGAACATGTGGAGCCCCCCCAAGGACGCGCCCTGTTTTTCTTGGTCTCCTTGCGAGAGAAATTTGAGCAGGAGCCTGTTGAAAAAGCAATTAATTTTTTTTTTAAGGGGTGTGGGTGGAGAATGGCTTGTTCCTCTTGGGTGAGAGGCGCCAGCAGGTGGCGCTGCCCTGCTGTGTTTTGGTTGTTCTGTCCCAGGGCGGCGGCAGCGGTGGCGCCTATAGGGAGTGGGAGGGGGCATCAAGCCGTTTACCCGGAAGGCCCCAGTAGGCACCTGGGGAGCGGTCTCTCGGCTCGGGGAGCCCTTTGCCGCCTGCTCAGATGGGTTGGGGAGGGGGCGGGAGTATAAGTGGATCTGTGGGCCATTACCCAGGCTGGAATAATTTACCATGAGTGCAGCCGTCCCCAGAGACCCCTAAACTGCTCAGTCCACCTTCAAGATATCGCTGCCCAATGGGAAACAGCTGGTGCATCTGGCACCCGGCGTGTCATTTCGTATCTCGTGTGTTTTGTTTTTACTGCCCAGGCCCAGGCGCTGCCAGCTCGTTAAGGCTCTTGTTCCCCCGGCCCGCTTTGATCTGCATTTATGACGGCTGCTGTGCACGGCGGAGTGGGGCCTGGGGGGCCCGGGCGAGGCTCTCGGGGCTGAGCCCTGAGCGGAGACGTGCAAGCAGAACTGCACGAAGATGTGTGGGTGAACTCTGTCCTTCTGACCAAAATTCAGGAGATCGTCCTGCACTCTTAAAGAGTACTACATGGTGTAGTTATCTGCCATAATGAAGTCCCAAGACCGCAAAGGGTCCACTTGCTCACACCCCCTGTAGTTATGTTATTTTGTAATTCATCCTTTGACACGGATGACACTGACAAGATGTCTCATGTCCCAGGAGTTTGCACAGTCTTGAATTGTTCTACAGTGTTCAACAGGCCTCACTTGTGATTATCTGCAAACTTGACTTGCTCTTATACTGAATGATCTAGATTCTGTTATTTTAAATTACAGTGAAAGTACAGGGGTCCTAGTACAGATCCCTGTGGTACTCCACTAATTACATCACCCCAGGCTGAGCAATTACACCCTTATCTGTACCTGAACCCATTCTCACTCTGAAGGCACATTTCACTACATGCCACCTGTGATCTGAGAACTAATCTTTTATGAGGAACTTTATCAGATTGCCTTCTGAAAACCTAAATATGATTTTCTCTATGTGGTGTCTTTTACTGTTGTTGCTTTTCAAAGTTTAACACAGTGGTTAGGCAGGGCTTACCTTTTCTAAGTCCATGTTGACTATTCACCAGGAACTGATTTCCACAAGCTGCCAGCAGAAGGAAATCCCTTTGATCTCGTTTGACTCGTTTCCCTGTGCCTGAGCAGTTCGTAGCTCTTTAATGCGTTTCGTAAAATATTTAAGCACATTGCACTGCAAGTTGAGATAGGGCTGATCTTGTGTACTTTCTAAGAATAACAAACAGAAAGAAGTCCTATAAAGGGATATTATTGTTGCTTCAGTCTGCGTGGACTGGAGTACATGATGTTCTGATTTTGCCGCTTTAAGTGTTACAAGGCTATAAAACCAAACCCTAAGGTGCTGTAACGGAAATAAACACCAAGAGAGATGACCCCTCACTTAACATGGGATTAGAGACTGCTGTGTGCTGGAGAAATAGATGACAGGACTCGTTTCATAAACTCTTTACTGGAGTTAAATGTGGTGCCAGTCCGTCAGAGGTAGATGGTCAGAGGCTTTAGCAAATCGGAGAATTAAAGGGCTTTAAACAGGAAAACAACACACGTAAACAAACAGAAGTTTCACTGCTCTTGGCTAAACTGCTCGTGGCTTCCTGTTGGGTTTTTTCCATTAGCGCGATGTCTCTGGCGGGGTAATTGTTGCCACACTGAGGCGCAGGGAGGAAAGAAGGTCATGCCGGTTCGCTCACGTGGGGGGGCAGCAGAAATGGGCTCTCCTCGCGCTCTTCTCGGGGCAGGGGCAGACCCCCGGTAGACGCACACGTGCTCAGGTCAGCGCGAGGGAGCAGGAGCAGGAGGCCGCTCAACACAGTGCGTGGGGTGGGGGGGGGGCTGTGAGGCGCGAAACCTGGCGAGTATCGGGCGGTTCCTCAAAGGCAGGCCACGCCTGGGCAGACGCACAGAACTGTGCGCTCAGGCTTCCTGCTTCCCGCCCTGAACACATTTTCACACGTGTGAAGCAGGAGGGAGGCTAGCTGAAGGCCACTATCGCGAACGCTGTCCTGGATGTATTTTTACCGGAGGAGCCCGAGTCGAGCTGCTCGTTCGGAGTACAGGCTGTGCTTTGTGTGATCACGCGGGCCCCCGCTGTGGTGGTCGGCATCGCTGCCTCATGGTGCCGATGCCCTGGGTTCACTCCCAGACCTGGGGTGCTAGCTTGTGGAGTTTGTGTTTTCCTCGTGTTCACATGGGTTTCCTCCCTCCCTCTGAGGACGTACGGGTGGGTTCGTTCGCTTCTGGGAAAATTGGCCCTGGTGTGAGTGTGTGTCTGTGGCGGTGTGTGCTCAACCATGGACTGGGGTTCCTCCCAGGGAGTATCCTGCCTTGCCCCCATGGCTTGCTGGGGTAGGCTGCCCCGGAGGTAGAAGAAGCAGGTGGATGGACTCTTGCCGGGAGAGTGACGGGTGATGTCACTGAGTGACACGCCTCTTCTCCAATCGCCTGTGAACTTCCTGTCCTCCCATGTGCTGCTGTGACGTGGGCTCACAGGGACGAGCAGGTCAGAGAAGCCCAGTGGCCTTTCCTCATTCTGCCCGTCACAAAATCAGCTGCTGTTGCCAGATACTGTTGGTATAGATTAAAAATGAATGAGCAATTCTTGGTTCTTCCTCCAACCTGCACATGACAAGGATTTGTAAATCAAGTGCGATGAGCTGAGTTCCATACATTTCCATGTCCTGAGACTGGATTAATCCCGTGTGCAACTACTATCTCTCCTCAGAAACTGGAGCATTAAACAAACATTTTTAATAAAACTCTCTTTACTGAGACATACAAGTGGAGGAATATTTAAAATATAAGAAAGCATTTACATTTTCACAGGTTTTTCTTGGTAAAAAATACAATCTTAAATGAGATATACATAAAATATTTTGTAAAATACAGATAAACATTCTGCGTGTTTTGATACGTCTTGATGCTTCATAGCAGTAAATATTTAATAAATGATCTCGGGTACACACAGACGCAAACGAAATGTAAACCAAATCTCTGATTACAAGCACGGGAGTTAAAAATAGGAATGGTAGAGCTCCAATGGCACATAAGGTATATAGAGAACAAAATAAAACCTCTGATGCACATCCCGATTTATTTTTAAACCTAAATGCTGAAAACACATAAAAAAGTTATCAAAAGTGCTGTTGAGAAATTGTATTTCCAAGGTTTTTCATCGGCAAATACAATTATATAGCCTTTGGAAAAGATGGATTAGAAGCTATATTTTCTTAAAAGTGCACACAGCCATTGCTATCATGCTAATGTACGCCACATCTTTGCTTGTGAGACAGGGGAATCTTCCAAAAGGGGCACGTTTCACTCCCAGGGGTTGGGACAGCCCTCGGAATGGACAGTGGGAACTACAGGAAGTGCATTTAAAACCAAGAATGTAAGGCACTTCTGTTCCCAGAGGGTTGTGGCCATCCACCGTTGCGATTGAAGCCTTTACATTGGCTTCATTCAGGAAACAGCTGGATAAGATCCTCAGAACGATGAACTGCCACCTGCCAAATGGCAGCCAGCTGAGCTGAATGACCTTCTCGCATTTATAACCTGTCCTAATTGTGGGTCTTCTGCTCAGTCTGAACTGTGCTGTTATGCTACCAGATCAGAACACATTTTGGGGGAGTGTGGACAGGTTACGCGCTCCCTGTGCTGTACGGTGAGAAAGTCCCAACCCTGTTGTATTGCGGACTAGCTCTGAAGGCTCCTTTTCTTCTTCTGCTTTGCCTCCGAATCCGGCAGAACTCGTATGGTATTGATTGCGTTCCAGGAAATAGGTTTATTGATCCAGCACAACAGTGACGTAGCTGCCTTGGAATGCATAGCTTGAAGGATAGCACGCTCTAGCGATCTGGTCCGGCCCCAGGCTCAGAACCTCGGAGAGAACCAGGTTGCTATTGCAGGTGGTGGTCTTTCCTTTTGGACTGAGATATCCTTACCAATTCCTAAATTCACTGTTCTGTCTGAGGTGCTATCCTCTAATTAGATGTTAAACCTTGGTCTGACCAAATTCTACTCTGGGCTTGAACTATCTGGTTTCCCTGAAGTTCCCCTTTAATTCACCCGGTGCAGCAGTTTCTCGCTCCTCCCCCCGATCTGCTGGGCAGTGGGGCTGCTGGTGCAGAATGGCCGTGGCTCTTTGGGATGAAAGGCACTATATACATGAAATTAAATGCATAGCAGCAGTGCGGCAGCTCCTGCGCCCCCAGAGCTGTGTGCTTGTGGACACCTGGGGGTGTCTCAGTGTCTTACATGCCTGGTTGTTCAGTCTTTGAGAGTGCAGGAAGAGTAAAGAATGGTGCCAAGCAGACAGCCCCCAGGACGGAGAGACCAGTGATCTAGACTGCGGGACAGGAAAAGGAAACCAGGCGCAGTCTTGGTATGAAGCTGAAGGCAGAGCTCTGGTGGGAAATATTGAAGTGCAAGAAGGGCACAGGTGTGGAGCCAGACTGGGAGAAGAGCTGGGCTCACGGACAGGGACACCGAGCTCGGCGCTCCAGTGCGGCTCTCTGCTCTCGGCGTGCGCTCAGCCCGGGACAGGCTGGGGAAGTCGAGGGAGGCCGCAGGACCAGGGCGGAGGCGATGACGTCGCGGCTGGGGAAAAGTACGGGAGTCTCGGGGCGCTCGCTCCCCAGCTCTGTGCCTCGCTCCCTGCTGCTCCGAGACAGGGAAAGGCCTTTCCGCACTCCAGACGGACCTGTTTAGTCATTGATTTCAGTGTTTGCCTTTTCACCTCTTTCCAAGTTTTTTATCTAAATTTGTTTTTTATTTTTGCGCTGTTTTTTGGGTGTTTTTTATTTACCCTGTAAAGTGACCCAAACACTGTTGAGCTCCAGGGGCCCCGGATGAAATCGTTGAGAAAGCCTGGCGGTCCGGAGCCCCTGCTGGCCTGGCGCCGGTCTGAGGGCAGGGGGCCACGCAGACGCTGTGCGCCCGCCCAGGAGCAGGACCAGCCTGTCGGGGCAGAAGCTGTGGCTCGAGGCCTGGTGGGGTCAGCAGCCACACAGCGGCCCGCGCGCTGGAGCTCTGTGTTCTCAACCCCTGTCCTCAAGCGGGACGCTCGTGGAATTGTGTCCTCGCATGCGCTTTAATGAAGACGAGTGGGATTCTGGTTTCGTGCCCCCTCTCGGGGGTGTGCTTCAAGAGCAGGGGGTTAAAGGACTGGCAGAATGGCTCTCTAGATTGTATCTGCGAGGCGGCGACCCCTGCTCCTCTCGCTGCAGACAGCCCAGCTCGTCGAAGGGGGAAATCAGTCTGAAAGCAGCAGGTCTGCCTGTGAAGGTGCTGCTGCTTCTGTTGCTTTGGGACACCTGCTGCCTTCCTGATGGCAGTGCGTGGGCAGGTGAAGACGGACGTCTGCGGGCGCTGGGCAGTGGAAGGTTCAGGGCAGTCAGCTCCTGGCCTGTGCTCAGTCACGCTGTGCTGCAGCTTGGGATCAGTGCTCTGTACGGTAACGGTAATGAAGTCAGTCCTTCAGGAGCTGTCCGTCGGGAATAAGGCCGCTCTCCGAGGGTGGAAGGACGGGGGGCTGTCCGGGCCCTTCCCACAGAATCGGGGAGCAGCTGGAGCAGATGAAGCCCAGCCCAGCCCAGCGGGCCTCTTCGGAACCAGCAGAGATAAAGCTCTTCCAGGAAACTGCTGCAGGGGATCTTCAGGCCAGTCAGCCATGAGCCAGAGGCTCATGGCTGGGTATAATCTGTGTCTGTGTGGTGCTTCTAGCTATCGGCATAAATGAGCTGCGGGCTGTTTTTAACAGGCCCCTGCCTACCTGCCATATTAACTCAAAGGATGTGTCTAAACCCCCTGCGTGGGTGTACGTGGGGTCTGTGGGATTGGGGGACCTGCACAGAAACAGGGTGCACCCGCCAGGGCGGCTGTCTTGCCTCTGCTTTGCCATCTGGGTGCCACCTCCGGGCACAAGGAAGGACACGAGCCGGGGGGGGGTTTGCGGGATCACAGTTCTCCCCCTCCCCCGCACACGCTCGGACCCTCAGCACTGCGGGTTGCCCACGCGGCAGTAGCAGACCGTCTTGAAGAGCCGGCAGTGGCAGAAGGCGCAGGGGTCGCAGCAGGCGGCGCCGGGCAGGCGGCAGCCCCCCCACACCGGCACGCAGTTGGCGGGCGGCGGCGGGCGCGGCTTCCTGCTGCGGGACACGAGCCGGTTCTGCGGAGGAGAGGGCGGGATTACTACCGGGGGGGGGGAGACATTAACATTTATTAATAATACAATACGCACAGTAAGCAGCACACAACATCAACATACAACAATATTATACAATATAAGTTGCAATATTTACAAAGTATGCATCTTGACTTAGGGAATCCCGGACTGCTGCCAAGTATTCAGATCCTATTTTTTGTGCACCGTCTTTATTATTAGAGTTGACTTTCCCCAGTTTTAACCATCCCCGGGAGACACCGCGGGGCCCTGGCCTAACCTGTCCCTCAGTTTCCAAGGCCGTCTGTCTTCCAGGACTCCTTGTTTCTGATTAAAATCGTGCGATTGTCTTTTTCTTTCAGGAGCTTTCGTCCATCCGTGCCTCCCTTGGTCCTTCCTCTCCCTGCTTTTCCCAACGGGGCGGGCGAGCCGGAGCCTATCCCGGGGAGCGGCAGGGCGTAAGGCGGGGTACACCCTGGGCCGGACGCCAGTCCATCGCAGGGCACACACACTTACACTAGGGCCGGTTCTCCCCAGACGCTAATCCAGTCACCTCGGGTTTGGGCGGTGGGAGGAAACCTACGCGAACACGGGTGGGGGGCTTACAGACTCCACGCAGACAGCACCCCAGATGTGCGGATTTGAACCCGGGGCCACAGCCCTTGCCGACCGCTGCCGCCGGGGGCTTTCCAGCTCTAGACACGACAAAAGCTGCACAAACACGAAGAAACAAAACAGACCCCGAGTTCTGTAACGCATGCAGCCGGTGCTGGGCAGCCGGCCTGCGGGTTTGAACGAAGACTAATCCGGACACGAGAGACCCCGAGACGACTTCCCACCGTGTGAGTTCAAGACGTGGAATCGGTATCCTTTACTTAGGGCATATTCCCACTCAAAACGTGCTGAAACATCAGAGAAATGGATCTATGCTGGGTTTTTTTTTTAAGAAAAGGAAAAGGGTTCGTTTTCTGCCTATGACGTTTATTTCCGTTTTTTTCCCACGTTTTTGAATAGCTTTCAATGAAATGTCAGTGTAAAGTGAGGGTCAACGGAGGTACTTATTTGGTCAGATTCATGTTCGGAGTCGTGTCTTGTCGGAAAATGTAACATTCAAGATGCTGTTATGATTATTATCTTCTCTTATTATTACAGTAAGTGGCGAAGCGGGTTCCCGTTATTCCGATCTGATCTGATCTGATCTGATCTGCTGCGCGGCGGGACGGTTTCTACAGTGGCGGTCGAAACGGGTCCTTTAGTCAATAATAAAGGTAATAAAGTAATGAAGGGTTTTGACAGCCTTCTGGATCCTACGCGCTACACAAATACGACTGCTATTGTCTTCACCGCTATGGATAGTAGTGAAGTTATCATTTTCAAATGCTTCTCCTGCGCTGGACAGCGCCCTGTCGGTCAGTACTGTACCGCATGTTCGAGTGTGGCGTATTTTCCAGCTGGAAACTGGAAGGGCAAATCATCTCCTCTCTTTATCATCATTGTTTGCCGCAGATCACGCCAGCCATCAGAGTTCAAAGAGCAGGTAACGAACATACTTTCATTGATATCTTTTCCGTTGCTTTTCTGTGGTTCTTCTTTGTTTTCGGAAGCTCTGAAAAAAACGAAAAGTTATTTTAAGGGAATAAGGTTATAACGCTTGTAATGCGAGCAAAACGTAACATCGCCAAACCCATTTGTGTGAACTATATGTGTGCGAGTATCACAGGAACTCTTTAATTTCTGAAGTGTCATCTAAATGGGACCTCTGTTCTAAATCCTTCAATCCTGTTTGCTTCCCATGGAGAATTAAATACCGAATGGTTTTGAATATACTGTCGCTCTTACAGTCTTTACCATGAGAGGTATTCCTGCCACATTGCCCACAGATTCAAGGGTGTTAATTTGCACTGTGCTAAGAGTAAATATGCAAAATTAGCTTGGGTTAAAATCTTGCAGATGTTCTTGGAGTTCTGTAGTTAAAGCACAGTCTGGGTAGCTGAGGAGGTCATTTGGCAACACACAGGTCTCTTCTAAGAAAGTTGAATACGGAACGAGACACACAAACTGTTTTGCCAAAGATCAGAGGTTGGAACATCCATCCATCTATTCTCTAAACCTTTCATTAAGTCAAAG